ATTACCTACCCCACCTTTGATAGGTCACTTTTTGCCATTTAATATTCTAACAAATCTCTCAATTTCAGACCATTTCGTTTTTTAAATAATGTTTTTTTGGTTTATGATAATGAGTTCTGTCTACAATTCTTAGATCTCTCTTCTCTGTTAGGAGAACAATTGGTAGGATTTTACAAACAAAAATAAATTAGATTAGATTCAACTTTCTTGTCATTGCCCAACGAACTACAGTTTGCATCCAACAAGAAAGTGCAAAGAGTAATACATCGCATTAGTTTTCAATACATTTACAGAACAGATATATGGTGCAGAGTTTAGACATATATAGATAAATACAGATAAATCAGGGGTGTCCAAACTACGGCCGGGGGCCAAATGCGGCCCGCGGACCTCGGCTAAATTAAAAAAGTATAATGAAATATGGCCCACAAATGAAACGTGTGCTTGTCTTATATTGTACTTTTAAAATATAAATATAACAATATATTACACAGTATTATTCATGTGTTAAAGGTAGGGTAGGTAATTCACTTCAGAAACACTTTTTGTTATATTCCATGGAATGCTATTAACATCCCGATAGCAATGAATATATTAAATGCTTTGACAATAAATACATTAAAAAAATGTCATCTGTGGAAGCCGTGGCGCTGTAAAAAGCTCGACCAATCATCTGAGCCGGCCCGGCTAAAATAACTGGATGGCCTACCTGCCTGTCAGCCTTCCATCTGTGCACAAACTTATCTCGTGCCCTCATTGGTCATGTGCGCGTTCGTGTGTGTTGGAGGAGGGGCTCTGTAAGGAAGTCTGAAGGAAGGGGCAGATATTTTTCGGCTGCGTACTTTCAAATTCTAGCGTACTCGAGCCGGTTTCTCCATTCTTACCTACCCTACCTTTAATGAGACCACTTTTCAAATAAATTCTGTCAATTAAAGTTGGAAATGTTTTCTACCATATCTTAGTTGATAAGAAAAAAGCCCAATAACTCATTTCCATAACAACCTTGAAATACACCCTTCCTATTTCTCCTTATTATAATCACTCTGAGGCTTCTGTTTTAAGGGATGAGCTGCCAACACTCACAAGCATCATTTACCAACATGTGATTGATTTTGCTAACTTATAACGGAACTCATGACGCGATATACCTCTGTTGAGTGGCCTAGCCCTTCGTATATTTTTCTGTATGTTATGTATATATTAGCTATACTACTATTATTTAAAGTAGGTTAAAACCCGGTTTTTGTTTTAGTATTTAGTAAAGGGAGCATGAAGGCAGCATTTCAGATTGCAGCACCAATAATAAATCAGAAGTTTCCTCCTCCTCTCTCCACCTGCTGCTCAGTCTCACAACATGTTTACCTGGCATCACACCAGCCAGGCGTGATATCTCTGCGGAGGAAAAACACGGCGGCAGATGTGCCACTTGAAAACACAGCACTTAAAAATAACCTTATCAGCGATTATTTGAGAATTAGGAGCGTAGTAACAGATGCTGTTTGCGCAGCACTAACCTGAGGCAGATCCGCCGGATGTTTTTCTGACTGCTGTTGACCCTGCAGACATCACGCTGACGTTAACCATTAGCTTCAGTGACGCTGGGAAATAAAGGAATACTGAAGCTTGTTTTTAAATAGTGATTTCTGTATTATACAGTGATTAGACAGACATTATTTACTGTTAAGAACATAGCATGTAGTAAAAGCTTCCGACCATATTTTTTTATCGACATCTCAAGCTTATGACAGCATTGGGAAACTGGGCATGATGACAGATTAAACTGGTGCCATTTCATCAAATACTGTTATTATATAATGGCACAATAAGGGCTGCCCCCTCTAAATCCACTTAATGGTCGATATCGGAGTTGATTATTCATTTGAAATGCTTTTTTTCCAGGCTGAATTACTTATTCCAGAGCAAATCTATTAATCAGAGATGCAATGTGGTGCTTTTGCATGATTCTTTGTGGAGGAGCTTAGTTTAACATATATTAAACACCATCATTTTATCCTGTTAGACATTTGGGTGAATTGACATAATAAGCAAACAAATGATTGGGTTATGGACAAAACCATCGTCGGTATGGTCACAATGACTTTGACATTTTACCAACAAGTTGTAATCAGTTCATTCTTGGCCCAAAATGGATGTTCGTGCCAAATTCAAAGTCATTTCCTCCAGGTGATTGAGATAGCACGTTCACAAGAATAGGACGGCCAATTCTAAAAACACACACTGCATACACTTTCTACTTTTGAGTACGCACTGCAGGAAAATCGTAGTGTTAGTTAGCTAAGAATGTCAGCTAGAGGACAGTCCTAAGCAAAATGCAAGTGTTTGGGTGACGAATAATAAAGAATCCAATTCCCAGACCTTCTATCAGTAACACTTCTGAAGTACAGCCACCAGACGATCTTGACATGAACTTAGGGGTGAATAAATCTCTTCTGGGGTCTGTTGCAGCAAATCCAGAAAACCCCCCCTGCAGAGCATCAGGGGTAATAACAGTCTGAGGAAAAAGTGCAAATCCCAGGTCACATTTCTGTAGATTTGGTCCTTTAACAAGTTCAAAGATTTCCGTTTCATCCCGAATCCCCGCTGAGTAAAAGTTCACTTGATGGATGAAAAGTATTTGCTGCAGGAAGTCAGATTCTGGATTGTAAAGTTTGCTCATCATCGGAAGAACTTCAGATAAACCGCAGCTGCTAGAATAGCCAACTCCATTATGATGATGACGCCTAACAGCAGCTTGTTGGTCATCAGCCTACACGACCAAAAGAAGGAGAACGTTTTTAGTTGACGACATGGGAGGATTTAATGTCATGATTATCCTGTAAAAAAACAACTTCATTTCACATCATTATCCCGAGAAATATGCAATTAAAATGTGCTTAAACAATTCACAGCGATAAACTTAATGAGTGGTTTTTAATTAAAGCATATTGTCATTCAAACTACAGAGACTTCTCTAGTCCTCAAAATGAAAGCATGCAAAAACAGAGAATAATGGAAACAGAATTTCTCAACATTCAATTTATTGGAAACAAATAAAAACAAGATAACTGAATTGTATGATTTTTCAGGGGAAGCACTTACCGTCGTGATAACGCTCGAAGAATCTTCCTACTTTTGCTGAGGTTCTCTCCGGTATTCACCAACTTCAATAAAACAAGATACAGAATTTGACCACAACAAATAGTCTCTGTTAGGGAATCATTTGCTTAGGTATTCAACCTTCGACACAGTTCATCATTTTCTCCCTTCACTTCCTCCTTTCTCACGGTATAGGTCTACGGCCTTGGGTGTTGCTGCTATCTCTCTTAAGGAGAAGCAGCTTGGGTGCATTGTTGTTGCCAGTCTATGACAGAGCACAAGCCGCCATGAGGTAGTTTACTGTTCAGGGACGAAGGCTCCCTGGCGCACATTCTTTCCTATGGACGAGAGCTCTAGTTAGATTTAGTTTCCATAATTGTTTAGTCTCACTGATGAAGAATGTTGATTAGTACACTCCGGACTAGTTCAAACCTGGAGCTGCAGAAAGAATTGGTTTGGCAACTCGTGACACACTCCAAATAAACCGTCAGTGTTTGCCATCAAAGCTCCCCTCGTATCTCTGAGTCCTGTTTCCAATTGCTTCAGAAGTTTCCCCCACATGTCTCTTTACTTACAGTTCTCACTAAAACCTGGGCTTTTTCACTTTTTTTGACACCAAATGTTGTAAAACTGCTGGTCTGCTTTCAAAAATCTATTCCACAAGAAGCTGAATCAGGGGACTAAGATGTCTACCATACAGTATGTTACATGTCTTCCTGTACATCGTTATAATGGCATAACATCTCACTTTGTTCCTGGCGCGGTCCAGCTGCTCGCGCTGCCCTCCCAGCTCCTCGATGACATCGGTGCCGACCTGATCCGTCTCGGCTGCGATGCGAAGAGTTCTCTCGATGCTCTGACTGGCGTTGGTCAGAGAGTCGGTGCCCTGCAGCAGCAACGCTCTCTGGGACTGGGTCTGGGTCTGAGGGAGAGCAACACATTACAACCAGGGGGAATAAGAGCAAAATAGAAACTAAATGTTATTAGCTTTGGATTGTCCCACTCTCAATAGTTTTAAAGGTCAACTCAAACAATGGCTGAGAAACAAACAGACGTGCGATCAGCACTTAACACAGGGGTATCTTCTCTTGCACTTTATGTATCGAACTTGTATTACCATGTCCTAAATACTTGGGTATTCTTACTCTTGCATTTTTTATGTATTTGTACTGCTATGTTTGTAATTTTCATTATCTTAAAGGTAGGGTAGGTAATTCACTTCAGAAACACTTTTTGTTATATTCCATGGAATGCTCTTAACATCCCGATAGCAATGAATAAATTAA